TGGAAAAAAACCAAAGAAGAAGTAGGGATTTCCTCTACTCAGGTGTCTTCACCCTGGCCGCCTAGAAATACCTGGGGAATCTTTTTAAAATCCCTGATTTCTGGGCCTTCATCTCCCGGAAATTCTGCTTCTTTGTTACTAATATTGTGACCTCACACCATAACCAAAGAAACAGAATTTCTGGAGGATGAGGCCCAGAAATCAGGATTTTAAAAAAGATTCCCAGGTGATTCTAATGTGCAGCCAAGGTTGAGACCACTGCTCTAGCTTCAAGGAGCTTACAACTTAATAAGAGGCGATTGGGAAAAGAGAGGGCAAAAAGCCAAGGTGTTAGGAGGTGTATCTTAGTTTGAGCCTCCCACCCTGAAGCAGACCCTGAGACAGGGTCTGAGGGATCATAGCTTATTTAGGAGTGCTCCCAGGAAATGCTGGCAGGGGAGGGGGAATGTGGCCGGAAGGGCAAAGCAGCCAATAAAAGTGTGTCATCACCATTATCACTGTGGGCAACTGGACCTCAGTGCTGCCAGGAACTCCAGGAGCCAGTGTAGACAGGCATTTAGTTACCCCACCCTGGGGTATCTAAACACCCCTCTTATCAGTCATTTGTTGAGTGCTGCTCCCAAGGGAAGGTAATCCTTCAGCTCCTGAGCCTGCCACGTGGGTAAAATGAAACTCATTGAGAAAGCAGTCAGGCAGAGAAATCGGGCACTGGCAGCCGCATGCATTGAAGGGGAAAGAGTGAGGGCACATGGTGAGCAGGGTGCCCACAGCTTCTGCCATGCTGGGTTTTGGAGTAGGACATGCTTGGCTTGGAAAACAGATCCACCCCTTACCACCCATTCTAAGACCTTTTGAAAGTCACCCTGTTGGCCCAGCTGCCCAGCTGTAAATGATGATGATAATAGTATCTACTCAAGCATTAGGAAGATTAAAACGCTTGGCACCTGCTAAGAGCTTCATACAAGGGTAGCTCTAAAAACCTCGGTATTAAAATGTATGGCACAGAGTGTGTATTGGTATGTCAATAAAGGAGAGCTGGGTATGGGTGGGAGTGGTCAGGGAAGGCTCCTAGGAAGAGGTGACATTTCAGCTTGGCGTTAAAAGGGGAAGGTCAGGGTTGAATAAGCTGAGGGTGGAGAAGTAGGAGGGGAAGAAGAAGGGAGACAGGCAGCGGGAAGAGAAGGAGCTTTAAGGGGAAAGACAAACACAATTGGCCCAGAAAGAGTGAGTTGTGGGACCCTGTAGGAACAGGTAAGGGGTAGGACTGGAGTCTATAGGCTAAGAGGCCTCCTGCCATTTCCCCAGATAGAAGCTGAGTGTAAGCTGGTAGCTGGCTCCGTTTGAGAAGCCAGTCTCTGCAGGGTCTCCAGCCTGAGGAAGGTTAGCGCTCTACAGCAGTCAGTGGGAGCTGGGACCCCCATCCATGTTGATAACCCAGAACCAGTTGGCTCTGTTCACCAAACCTTAGAAAGACCCTGCAGCAGCTGATTTTAAAAATACCCACAACCCTTTACTCTGCCTCCTGTCCACACCCTTCACATGACTCTACAGCTCCTCCTGCCAAGAGGTGGAGCTGATCTCCCTTCCTCTTGAATCTGGACTAACCTCGTGACTTGCTTTGGCCAAAATAATATGGCAGATGTGACACTGTGATATCTGCGAGCCTAGGCTTCTCTTGCTCTCCTGACCACCACGTGAACAAACCCGGGCTACCTGCCAGGAGGATGAGAGGCACATGACCCAGTTGTCCCCTTTGCCTCGGCCAATAGCCAGCCGACCTCCATGCATGTTGGTGAGGCCTTCCTGGACCAGCCAACCCGTCAGGTGACCTCGGATCTGTGAGTCCAGCTGAGATCAGCCATAGCTGGCCCAGACCAGAAAAACCACGCAAATGACCCTCAGACTCATATAAATAAGTCTTATTATTCTAAGATACTATATTTTGGGGGACATTTGTCATGCAGCTATAGCTAACCGATAGAATTCCCATGTGAGGCCTGAGTGTGGAGTATCTCCATGTGTATAATGAGAACCTCCTACTTTACTTACTTTTTAGAAATCACCCTGAGTGATATTTTTGTACATGGTAATAATGAGAGGGATCACCATGGCTCATACATGAAAATCAAGCAACTGTGGTGGGGGAACGAGTGGGGAGAACAGTGCAACCTAAGCTTTGAACAGAGTGTTTTCTCTAAAGTGTGACTCAGGGTGGAAGTAGGTGGGACAAAACTATGACAATCTCAGAAGGTGAGACAAGAGATATCAATTGTGTGACCAGTTGTGGGTGGCCTGGGTGATTTATTCTTGGAAACCTCTAAAAGAAAGCTGACTCACGCCGATAAACCTAGCAAGTGTTTCTGGAAATATACATATAATTTTTAAACATACATGCAATTTTTAAATGTTTGCTGCTCTAAATCTTTACAAACACAAATATGAGCAGTTGATTCACCACTACAACAGGAACTTTACCATTCCCCAAATCCTCCAGGTGTGAGTCTGGGGTATTTTCTCTGCCTTACAGCTGAGAAAACCGAGGACCAAAGAGGTTAAGTAGCATGGCCACAATGATTTGGCAAGTCGTTTCAATCTAGGCTGCCTGACATTAAATCTGTACCCACTGCCTGCAGAGCTGCCTTGGAGGTGGTGGTAGAGGGTATA